TAACTCTTCTTAAAACTTCAAAGTGAATGGGTGGAGCTAAACCACTATAGGCTGAATTGGCTGATATATGTAAATGTGTTTATTTCTAGCAGGACTGACTACTGTAATGGTCTCCTACCTAATAGACTCCTAATAGAGACAAACAACTTCAGTTGATAAAAAATGCAGCTGAAAAACATTGTCCTCACTAGGAGTAAAGAAAGGAACACATCACCCTTATTCTTAAACCCTTACACTGGCTACCAGCATGCCTCAGAAGAGACTTTAAGATACTATTACTGGTCTATAAATCGCTTAATGGAGTAGGAGCAGTGTACTTGTCTGACATGCTGCAGTGATATGAGCCAGTTGATAGAGAGCATTAGAAGAGCCCCCACACTTGATATTTTAAATCTAGGCCAAAAACATTCCTATTTGAGCAGATTTCAGCTCAGTTTAAAACACTGTTAGCTCTACTGCACAACTCTTATGTAAAGGTATTTGTTATCTAACTTATTTTTTTTATTTTTGATATCTACTGTGCATAATCATGTTTTAATCATGTTTTTAATTTCAACTTTCTTACACCTTTTTACCTCTATCTTTGTATTACCTTCTTTATGAAGCACTTCAAATGGCTATAGTGTACAAAAGGTGCTATATAAATAAACTTATCTTGCCTATTTTTGGTTTTTGTGACACCACAGAAGCGCTGAAGTAAAAACAGGATGTTTTTGTGGCTTAGTTTGCATATATGAACAGTGTGCACTGGGGAGTGAATAGCATGTTTTAAAACTTTAAATATTTACATACCACATCATTTTTTGTTTCAAGAATGTAAGAAAAATAAAATTTTCCATGATGTGGGTCCGATAAAACCGTTTTCTTTAGCCTGAGAAATGTCTCCATCTGGTGTGCATGAAGCAGCCTGGCAGGTTCAATTTATAGTCCACAGCAAAACAGGCATGGAATAAGCCATGGAAGTGAAAATACCCAACTCATCAGTTTCATTTGAGAGAACGAAGAGATGAAACTGGGTGAATAATGTAATCGTCTGTTAAATGTTTTGTACATCGTCCAAGAGTTCTTGATGTGTATGAGCACCCACGTCCTCTTTTGTGCTATTGTGCAAACATGGTGTCTACAGCTCTAGCCTCTTAAGTACTTGTAGTGTCAGATGTGCTGGTGAAAGCCTATTGTGTGTATTATCACATCCTGCTCTTGAGTGATCTCTGTCTTACACTTTTGCTGGGCCTGAGTCAACTCTCAACCTAGTGACTAGCCACAGTAAAGGCGGTGGCAGGACATGACTGAAAAGTTCTAACTGGTTACACTCCACTCCACCCTCAGTTCTCACTGAACATTAAGGCTGTCAAATGAGCGTTTGTTAATGCCTCTGTATTTGGCATCAAAAGAATGAACTTTGGCACAGAACTCTACTAAGCCTACTAATTCATTAACCTGTAAGTAGGTGACTCAAATGGAGGGTGGTCAAAAAAAAGACTGTGGTATATAGTATTCAGTTCTTACCGGAAAGTCTGTTTACCTGGCGGCCATCTTTGTAACACCGCCAGACACTTATTTCCAGCCATTCAAAACAAGACACACATCTCTCTGAATGGGGAGAGACCAAAATACTCAAAATTAACTGTCATATTACTGTTTAAAAACATATTTAGAATCACCAGTAAAATCTAACAAAAACCTTATAAATAGTTTGTAGTGTCATTTTTTGGTTTGTTCTGGCTGCTGCCCTTAATCTCCACAATGAAGGGGGGAGGTTCCCTGCTAGCACCACAATCACAATATCATGAACCCTTTCCGCTCACAGCATAACCAGCAAGCTGATTGGCTCTTTTTAGGACTTCCCCGGAGAACATACACTGTGTTGAAAGTTACAAACTTTCCTATTCATAATTTAACCAGTGGCCGGTCTCCTCGTTTATACCGTCTCTGACCAAACCTGATTCTTGAGCATCTTGGGCCTTCACTAGGCCTGAACATGTAGTATATGTCAAAATGTATTCAGAAATTGTATGAAGTGTGGTGCATGAGTGGTTTCAGAGAGACTGCTGGTGAACTGCACACTCTGTCTATCTGTGCCTTCTTATTAGTGAATTTAGCTACTTCAACCTCTTTCTGAAATTCCCCCTAATGGCTGTTGGAAATCGACTTGGATACTTGTAATTAATATGATCAGAATTATCAGATTAAGTGGGATACTGTTGTCTTTCTGGTTGTGAAATGTAGTGACTCTGTGTTGAGCTGCTAGCGAGCAATGAGTGGTGAAAGGAGAGGAGTGAGACCACGGTGAAATCTATTCATACATCTCCAAAAAGTTGGCCATGTCAATAAAAAAGTCAGCACAACTCCAGGTTTCTTCATGTCAAAAAATCATGTACAGCTCCTACAATGTAAAATTAACATTTAAATAATTACTTATTATTCAATATTCAATTATCAAATAAATACACTTTTATAAATGCTGACCTGTTTGCTCACCTATGACAATGCAAAATCCAGCTGCTTGAATTTGGTTTTGAACAATGATACACATTTACATCAAAATATACTCCATCAATCTTTTTGAAGAAATAAATGCACAGTTCAACTGAGGGGCCCCCAAAGCAGGCTACTGTGAAAAAGGGTTAAAGGTCCATCCATTGCTGATGGTCAGTTGTGCACACACAGCATGTATATTCTCCGCAGTGGAACTGTGTTCACTGGAGTGATGGAACTCCATTTAATACCTTAAAGGATGAGCTGAAGTGGAGTTTGTGATCCAAAACTGATCATCCAACATCAGCAGCTGACCTCACTAAAGCTCTAGTAGGTGAAAGCATTCAAATCCTCATGGCAATGTTCAACATCTAGTGTTAACATCTAGTTCTCAGAATAGTAGAGGCTGTTACTGCAGCAAAGAGAGAACAAACTCCCTATTAATACCCTGATGTTGAAGATATGTTAGATAGGCATATGAAGTTTTTGCTCTGCTAATTGCAACAATCAGCTTATGACAGTTTACAGATATATCAGATTAGACCCAGGTATAACAATATGGAAGCATTAAAAGCAGGACGTGGTCATAACAGGAAATAAGCACTGCATAGCAGTCTTATGAACTGCACGTACAAAGACTCAGCTGTCACTTCTGCTTCACATGTTTCACAAGAGAGTTTTGGTGACAAAAAGAAATTTGATCATGTTACACGATATCATGATACATCATAACTGATCTGTCCTGATAAAAGAAAACAACTTGTGTTCTACCGAGGCTTAATTTGTGTGATAAATTCTTAAAGTGTAAAAAATCACTGTAAAATATTAGAACTCTCCAAATGCAAACATTTTGAAAGTGTATTCATCATTATTCGCAAAACAACTGAATCAAAAGTGCTTGCAGGTCTTTATGATGTTGTGATGGGGCACAAAAAAAGTTCTGAATGTTTTTTTGATTTAAACAAAACAGCTTCACACTGGGGCTTTTTAAATGGCCCATATCCTACATTTTTCCTGCATTCCAAGTCCACTTAGAACATTTGCGCTTGTTTATGTACAGTCTTAACTCATTTTACATGATCATTTTTCAACCTCTCTTTGTTCTTAGTAGTAAGCAAGATGCTTTTGTTTTTGTTACTCCCTTCTGATTGGCTTTCGTGTACTGTGCCACATTCAAGCAGTGCAGCCTGGAACACTCCTTATAAATTCAGCATGAATGTGTGGGGCTAAACCGTTAAAGTCTAAAGAGACAGGTTATGCGTGTAAATGATTTGGTTTTTCATTACATCACAAAAACAATGAATTCAAAATGGGCTGTTTTTGCAGCATAGTTTTCATATATGGACTGTATGAATTGGGGAGTGAACAGTACATTTTGAAATAGGTTTTTTATTCCAAAAAAAGCCAGGAAAAGTTGGCTGTCCATGATATGGGCCCTTTCACTAATAATACAGCACTGAGAGTTCTCACTGACAAGGTGTAAAATACCCCTCCAGAGCACAAAATCACTTTCTGATGATGTTCTGGTTAGAGATGTGGTGGTGAGGGCAGACTGGTGTACACCATCAACCACTGGGGGTGTCACTAAGAATGACAGTAACACTGTACATTAGCTACACATTACAGTACAAAACATCATGTGGTGTCAAAACAAGTAGTGAAGGAGTAAACAGAAAATCCGGAATAATGCATTCTGTCTTTAAAAAGATCTGTAAAACTAATTCTCTTTGGTGCAGAGGATGTCACAGTACTGTTTCTTGGTGGTTTGTGACTGGGTGTGTGCTTGTTAATGCTTTAATGGTTATTGCGGCATAATTTCTCTTCCCACATCCTCACACACATCAGCACTACAACTGACAAAACAGAGACGGGGTAAAAAAAATGAGTGGCTTTACTTTAAACAACTTGAGTATGACTAAAAAAAAAGAAAGAAAGATGCCATTTAGGTAACAGGTGGCTGCATCAGGTGACATAGCATTGCTGTGCAGAAAAAAAAAAACAGTTCATGTAAAGAGATTTAATTACATATGAGCTTGGAACTTCTATTGACCCATTCATCATAAAATTTTCACACAATGTAAAGGGTTACATTCAACTTATAAAAAAAAAATAAAACACTAAAAAACTTTTTTAGACAGTATTGATAGATTAGATAATTAAAGTCAGTACATAAATAAACAAATGTATGTAAAAAGAAATAAAACAATTAATAACTCCTCTTTGAACAATAATCAGATTAATTTCTATGCATATCATAAATGTAAACATTTTCCCACCCGTTTGTTAATAAACCTGTTACAAAGTTCAAATGTTTGAGAAACTGTTTGAGGCCTGTTGAGGCCCCAGCGAGTTGAGCTAAGCATAAAATATGTAATTCACCTTTTTCATTCTGGTAATTTTTAGGTGAATTTCACTTTTTATCCACGCAGTGAATTTGAGAAGTTGCTGATGACGCACTTCCCCTCCCTGGAAACCTTATAACAATTTGTTTCCTGACTCTTAACAGTCAGACACCACGCCAACCGCCTGTAACACACACGTGGCAAGCTGCTTGTTCTTTCTGAGGTAAGTACACTGGAGCCCCACTCAACCACAAACAAGCAGGGACCTTCTGAACTTCATCTGTTTGTTCTCCATGCAATAATGAAACATCTACATACGTAACTGATTTATGCAAAAGATGATATGTTAGTAATTTTAGAACGTGCTTTCAATTTTGTAGTTTGTAGTCATTGTTTGGCATTGTTGGTGTTGATTTTTGCGGCTAATGAGCTGTAACGAGGAATGAGCAGCTGGTAAGTGGGTGTGGGATGTTATACAGTTGTATGCAGGTGCCTCTGGTCAAATTACATTTTGTTGATTTTCTAAGTGAAAATAAGTTTAGATATACTCTACACACTTCTGCACATTTTAATGCAAAATAACTGTTTATTTGCAAAATTTAACATAAAACATAAAATGTTTTTTAACACAGCATGTTATGGCACATTGCATATTGTATGTTTTTTGCTTGCAATTTGTTAAACAAATAAATAGAAATTGCCATATTTAAGTGTGTTTTCTGCAGAACATGTAATTTGAGGCGTTCAAACTTTTGCATACAACTGCACAGGTGAATTACAGTGGATTCACTGACATTTACGTAAACAAAAAGACCATAATTATTATTTTGTTTGTTTTATTGTAGTTCAGTTGTCTTGCATAATTCAATCCCTTTCTAGCCTTTTTTCACTGGCAGATTACTAGAGGAGGTTTTCTCTCTTACAAGTATGAGTCACAAAAGATCCAACAAGTAGTGTGGTTTCAATGATGACATTTTTAACACACTTCTCTCAGTTTATGCCCTTTTTGTGGGCCTCTGTGATCGAGTTCTTTGCATTTGTGTGGAAGTTACTCACATGAAAAGCAGCGAAACAGACCTCCTCTGTTATAGCATTCTTGCGGTAGTAGAATGGAACAGCATGTCCTGATGAATACTAATGCGCAGCCTGTCATAATCGTGACAAACTGACATTGTCTGTGCAAAAAAAAAAAAAGTGAGAATTTAAGCTCTCCAGACAAACTGCTACAGAAATATGCTATGCATAGCCTGTTCAGCTAAAAGGCAGGACACACCCCATTGTCTAGTAGGACAGATTTTGAAACAAACTTATGATCAGACATCTCAAGTGGATGTCAGAGAGCATGTAAGCTTAGTCTGAACTTATACTGGACATATAAGCAGCTAAACAGCACATTTAAAACCTCAAGCCTGTCAAAAAAAAATCAGTGCAGCATAGATGACATAGACACGTGAACACTACTGTGTACTGAAAAAGCTGCCAGAAATGTAATAACGAAATGTGGGTGTAAAAACTCCCTTAACCTACCACCACATGGTCGATATGAAACAATATAGTCAGAAAAGAAGTGAAACGATGCTAACTGAACGTTAAGCTTCCGATAAGCTGAGATTTCTTTACTGCGTATGCCAGTTGCATCGTGTGGTTAAGCACAACTACAGGCAAATATATGTGCAGCGTGAGAATCTAACCAACACCCTTGCACATCCTGTTCCTACATGGCTCTGCACTCTAACATACAGAAGAATTTCAGGTTATGTAATTCATTGAAATTGTGTTAAACACTCTCATGCCAGTTATTTATTGGCATAAACTGAAGAAGATAAACATATCTGCTTAAGTAGAGCAAGGAATTGTAGTATAACTTGTAAAATGATCTTTCTTTGCTAAACACCTTAGCTCTTGAATAAAGTTACATTGCTTAAGCGTAGTCATTGACTCATAAAATCCAGACAAAGTCACAGGTAGAAAAAGTGTAACACATTCAATACAGTGAAAAGCGGATGTTGTTCACACCCTTTCAGATTGTGGTCTGAAGTGTAATGAAGCAACAGTCTGTCTTCTATCTCTGTGTTTAGATATTCGAAGAAAAGACCCCTAAACATGGCTGAGAACGCTCCAAACAACAGTGGCAGCAGATTGGACAACGAAACTCTGTCTATACTTCAAACCAAATGGTCTAGCAATCTTATCTCAGCCATCTATGTCATTGTGACCCTGGTCAACCTCTGTGGAAACGGCCTTTCACTGTGGCTGCTGTTGGCCCGCACCTCGCCAAAGACCCCTTCCATCATATTCATGATCAACCTTACTATCACTGACCTCGCCCTGGGCTTAATGCTTCCCTTCCAGATCATATACCAAATGCAAGGCTACAACTGGACCCTGGGCTCAAGCATGTGCAACATACTCACTGTAGTCTTCTTTGCTAACATGTATTGTTCCATTTTGACAATGACTGCTATAAGCGTCGACCGCTACATGGGCATAGTGAAGGTTATGCGCTTCAGGGAGCTCAAGCATAACATCAAGTATGCAATTTGTACTTGCATGGTCATGTGGGCCATAGTCCTAGCCATTCTCAGCCCACTCGAGACCACAGATCTGACGTTTTATGTTAAGGAGCTCAACATCACCACCTGCTTTGATGTTTTGAAGAAGGACATGCTCCCAACAACCACACACTGGGCTGCCTTCCTGTTTGCATTGTTTGTCGTGCTGTTTCTCTGCCCCTTCATCATAACAGTGTACAGCTACATCAGGATCATCTGCGCTCTGGTCAACAGCTCCAAGAACATCCAGAAAGGCCGCGCCGTGCGGCTGGCATTCACCGTCTTGTTCGTCTTTGTCGTCTGTTTTGCACCGAACAACATCTTGCTCCTGGCTCACTCAGTCACCAAGCTTTACTTTGACAAATCTCTCTACATGTACTACAAGCTGTCCCTGTCACTTAGCTGCATCAACAGCTGTCTGGATCCATTCATTTACTATTTCGCCTCAAAGGAGTTCCGTCGAAAGATGAGACAGATGTTGAGGCTGCCAAGCCTCAGCACACTGGATAATGAAATGACTGATGGCCACAGAGAGAGCTTGTTCTCGGCTCGTACTGTTTCTAACGGTAACGCTGAGGATGGAAACCTAGAGAACCGCACTACTCCGGGTGAGGAAAGCTTCTAGTTTAGAGTCCAAGGCCATTTTTTTAACATGTGAATTTGCACTTGTTTCGTTATGTGGTCTCATGTTTTTGTTTTGTTTTGACTGTCCTCAGCAGTTAAGGGGAAGCTGGCCTGCTCATGTGACATTTCAAAACAAATGCCATGATATCAATGTCGCTGTTTTCTTACTCTTCGTGTAGACATTATTTACAAACCTTCACATTAAATATTTAAGCTTTTTGGAGCTGTTTTCATGTAGCATGTGAATATTTATTCTGTGATTTGCTGGGATCACTCTATACAAATGTAACTGGCCATGCTTCCCCACACTGATTTCTTTAAAAATATATATTTTGCAGCAAAATTTATTAAAATCTTTATTTGGCAGCTATCTAAGTTTTGCTATTAAATTATAAATAAATTATACATAAATTATAAATATACTATCCTGTAAAAAGTGTCCATTTACCAAATGTAACCATTATTTAGGGGTTTATATAGTAGCTCTTACCAAAGCATTCAGGTTTATTAATTGTGTTTTCTTGCTTTATTTAGTTATTTTATGTAAGCTTGTTACTGTATCTCAAATGTTTTTTCTGATGATTTTTTTTTTATATTCCAGTGTCATAGAAATCCCCTGTAACATGTTTTCACAATAAATCCTGCTTTTTTAAGTAACTTTTTGTTTTCTTCATACACCCTTAGTCACGAGAAATGAAAACCAATGAGAACTTTTAGTCTCCCCTGGCACTGTTTCAAAATACTGCATATGGTCAGCCTTCCTCACTGCATCCCTCTTCCGAAGAGTGTCACTGCCAGGTCACACTTCAAAGTTCCTCATATTTGCCCTTTGTTCCTCAGTACTTAACATTTTCCCCTAGCTCAGTGGAAGAACGGTAGGAAAGGGACAAATGAAAGCGCACCATGAAACAGGACAGGCCTTATAAAACATCAAGCCAACATAAAATTATAGTGCTTAGTGAGGCTGTGACTAAAAAGTAGCAACACTAAAAATCTGACAAGAATTCTCCTTTTCATATTTAACAAAAACTCAGGCAAAACCAAAGAGCATCCCAGTTCTTGCAGAGTTTTAACACTAGAGAGAAATTCATAAAACATGGCACATTAGACATTTATGGAGCCCTGGCCATGACATCCCTTATTAACTAAAAAAAGGCATGACTACGCTTTTGTAATGCAAGGGAACAAGATAATCTGTGGCCATGACTTGTAAGATGGTGCACCGATTTTTACTGCAGCACTGAGAAACCTTGGTTTTGACTTTCTGCTGAGACACTCGCTTTCTACTTCATCTAATGCTTAGATCAAAAAGAGCGCGTAGTTGAATGATGAGAACAAAAATCTCGGCTGTTTTGAACAGCGAGGAGCCATGAGATTTTATCTTGCTATCTGAATCAGTCCTCCCAATTCGCTAATCAATGCTTGAATTGTGGATTATAAATACAGAGCAGGTTCAGACATAATAAGAGTCCAAAATAGGCATTGACGTTATGCTTTATCTTTACTGTTATTTGACTGGCTACAAAATGTCGGACAAGCGCTCTCCCCTTGCACAGAAAAAGGTTGGTTTTGTACCCTGCTACTTGTGTAGGCGCAACTGTAAATCGAGGTTAGCAACATCACAGCAGGCAGAATGAAGCAGTGAGTGGTCTGCCTGAAACCATCAACCAATACATGTGTCACATTTATTTCTCAGTTTTTGACTCTTTGTTTGCTTTTGAAACAAGAGCCAAGCCATTTGGAGCAGAATGAATTTATAACTGGTTGTTAAAAACTGTAATAAAAGGTGGACACACTAAATATTTATAAGAATTAATAATATATATATATATATATATATATATATATATATATATATATATATATATATATAAATAATGGGATAGCATTTTTTGAATAAAGCCTATTTACAATTAAACTCTTGATAAATGTAAAACTTCATTTTAAGGGAAATCAAAAAGATCTTTAAAAATTATGGAAAGAAATGTAAATGTAAATATTTGACAAACTGAAATTTATTTATAGATGACACACATCTCAATAGCAAGTGCCCAATTAGTGCCAGCTTATTAAAATGTCAATTAATAAATTGGCTTATATATATATATATATATATATATATGTATATATATATATATATATATATATATATTGCAATTTGAACAAATTTGGTCCATTCATATATGTATATGGTCAGAACAAAACCTTGTATATCCATTTGTACATCCATCCAAATGGCAGTTGCCCTTCCCATTGTGTGCAGATTTCATGCTGAATAGACCAAAAGAAATGGCCAAAAATGACATAGGAAAAAAGTGTGGTTCCACTGACTTACATTAAAAGCAAAGAAGGTTTTTTCTTTCTCCTGTAAATTTCTCATTTTGGGGATATGAAGTTTTGTTCTGACAACAGCAACATACATGTGTGTATATATATATATATATATATATATATATATATATATATATATATATATATATATATAACTAGAGATACAGACAAGTCCCCATTTTAAACAGATACAGGTGATATAGTGATACTTTTCTATTTAATTAAAAAATTAAATAAACAGTACTGCAATTTTCTTATGTGGAAAAAAGGTATGCACACCCCCACAAATTTTACTACTTCAAATGTGTCAATTATGATGATTAGAACACCATTACAGAAAATTTCAGATATCTGGTCTGGTTTGCTCTTTGTTATTGGGAGAGTGTGTTATCATCAAGCTTAGATTTAAAGAGCTCTCTGAGGCCTATATTCGAAATCAATCATTCCACTGTCTGAAAGGTCATCTACAAGCAGAGAAGATTTTTAACCACTGCCAAGTTGTCCATGCCAGGCTACCCCAACAAATTTAACCTGAAAGCAGACTGTAAGATGCTAAAAGAAATCTGTAAGAACACAAAAATTTCATTACAGGATCTGCATGCAGCTCTTTCCATTGTTGATGTAAAACTGCATGCATACCATTAAAACAAGACTGCACAAATTGACCTACATGGGAAGTGTGCCAGGAGAAAGCCTTTGCTGTCTAAAACAACACTGAGTAAAGACTAAAGTTTGCTAATGAAAATCTAGTCAAGGATCAGAACTTCTGGAACAATGCAGTGTGAACAGATGAGTCAAAGATAACGTTTGGCCACAGTAACAGAAACCATGTTTGGCGAAAACCAAACACGTCATTTGATCAGAAGAAACTCATACCAACTGTAAAGCTCGGTGGTGGAAACGTTATGGTTTGGGGCTGCTCAGTGCCTGGCCAACTTGCAATCATTCAGTTGACTATGAATGCTCTTTTATACCAGAGGGAGCTTGAGAGGAGTGTGAGACTATCAGTAAAATAGTTTAAGCTGAAGAAGTTGACCTTTCAACAGGATAATGATCCCAAATATACAAGTATTTTCACCAAGGAGTGGCTCAAAAGAAAGAAATAGAGAGTTGTGGAACGGCCTAGACAAAGGACATATCTGAATCTCAATTCCAGTGAAATGCTGTGGGGGGAATCTGAAATGGGCTTTACATGCAAGAAACCCCTCAAATATTGCACAGTTGAAAGAATTCTGCATGGAGGAGAGGGCAATAATTTCTCCTAGTAGATGTCAGAAACCAGTAGACAATTATAGGAAACGTCACATAAACTTATTTGTGACAAAGGGGGTAGTACCAGTTTATGAAGCCAGGGGGGTACTTACTTTTTTAAAAGACAAAAATGATATCAGTTATCATTTTTTAAATAAATGATTGCAAAATCAATTTCTCTTTTTTTTTTTTGTTCTATTACATAAAATTCGTCTGTACAAGCAGTTTTACAACCCCAAATCAGAAAAAAGTTATGTTAAGGTATGTTAAATTAAAATGAAAACCAAAAACAATGATTTGTAAATTATTTGACCTGTATTACACTGAGAACAATACAACAGCATTTTATTATATAGTAAATTAAGTACATAAATTCTAAGCCTGTGATTTGATAAAGGTGCCTTTTAGCCTGTTAGCTAGCTGATCAGCCTAGTTCTAGTTAAGAAAACAAATTGTCAGTCCCTCAGTTTAAACTTGGGTTCTTTCTTCATTTATCAATACACTCGGTGGTCCATGCAAGGAGCATAACAATCAAAGATTATTCCATTCACAGCCCAATGGTTTTTGGTCACTTGGTACATTAATACTGATAATAGTTCAGCTGCTGTGAGGCAGTCATAGACATATATTTAAAGCAATAAGGCTGTGGGTTACTGCAATTTTAGTCTTCAGTTTTAGAGAAAACCCTACCCCGTGATAAAATCGCACTGCCTCGAGTGGCTTATTGTTTTCATAAAACGGCGACCAACATAAAAAATATTAAAATACACAATGTTTTAGCTAATTATTTAAGTTATTATTATTAATAATCAACATAAACAAGTATTCCACCAAAAAATGTAGTTCCTTTAGAGTACAGTATCATTGCTAAGCAACCATTGACACTGAATGAGGAGAGGAAAAAAAAATTCATATAACAGTGAACAAATGTAACATAGCACTGTTTAATGCAAAATTATTAAAAGTACTTTTTGGTCACCAAATTACCACTGTGAGTCTTCTGCCAGACTGACAGTGCCACTTTTCTCACGCTGGGGCTGAATCTCAAACGGCTCCCTGCTCCCTAAACAGTGCACTATGTAGGAATTTAAATAGTGACTCCTGAACCCCAACAATGCAAAATATTGCTGAACACTGTCACTGTCATACTCGACAGGCAGTCCACTATTTGACAGAAGAAGGTAGAATTTCTAAACTTACACAGCACACTATTTAGCTGGGGAGTATGGAGCCCTTTGGGATTCAGCCTGAGTCTGAAGCTTGTAAACCATTCAGGTGACATTCTTTATACTTTTTTCTTGCCGTTTTTCAGTTAATCATAACGTGAGTACTTTAATTCAAGCCTGTGATATTAATGTTGGAGTTGAACAACAGAACATTTTGGAATCAAAAAAAAATTAAAACAAATAAAAGTTATGACAATTAAAATGAAGAAGAAATATTGAAAATTCTGTGCTACATCTAGGTCACTATTCACACTAATGCAAATTTGTAAAACTGACGAAGATGAGGGCTTTGTTCAACAAGGTCAGATTTTGAGTCTTATTCCTTCTGTTGAAACTTGTGCTCAGACGACTTTCGGGTGGTTTCAATCTATTGATCAGAGTCCGTGCCAGTTCAAGTGCATGCTGTCATTACAGTAAAAGAGGGGAAAAATCTGAGAAACTCTGAAATTCAAGTAAACATTCCTAAGATTCCACGGTTCAATCAGATTGTTATGCTTATAATATACTTTTAATGAAACAGTTTGTATTCAATTAGAAAGTATTTTCACTAGTTTTCACTTTTCTCCCCTCCGCCTGAGTGCTCGCTCTCCCTCTCTGTCTCTCTATAGGTGGAGTGAGCTGTCAATCATCGTCCAGCGCGTTGTAAGCCAGCCAATCAAGCACAGTATTGCGGCAAAAGGGGCGGAGCCTCTCATTCAAAAACGGCGCCAAAAAGCTGCGCGACGGCCTAGCGGCTCACTCGTTTGCCACTTGGTCTCGCATTTGTTTGAGGTTTCGCTTAAACTGAATTGTTGATCTGTCTAGTTCGTTTCTGCTCCTGTCTGTCTGTCGTTAGTTTTGTCCAGTGGTTTTGTCTCCTTATTGTGACAGTGTTGTTTGCTGTCTAGTGCTCTCTCTCTCTTTCTTTTCTCATGCTAATCTCCTCGGATTGAGAACAGGCTACATCAGGGGTGTCAAACTCGGCCATTAGAAGAGCCAAATTAAAAAATATAAAAAATCTGTGGTCCAGCTGTGTTTCTATTTCATTTTTACTGAACGTTTTGCCATGACCCAAACTGGCCATTGTTTATTCAAAATATGGCAAAACTGCAACAGCAAAACATGCACTGAATTCTTGAACTATTCAAAAATAACTTTAAATAAAATAAATTGTTTTATATAAAACAATAGGAGGTAGTTAAAAAAAAACAAAAAAAAAAAAAACTGCCTATTCGCTTGACCTGGACACCGGGCATCTTTTCTTTTTGTGTAACTGCTGGCCCATAGATGGTTGTTGGGGGAAGGGGGTCAGAGTGCACATTATGTTGCAGTGCATGCTGGGGACTGTAGTGCAGCTCAGGGTAAAACAGGCTAAAATTAATAGAAAATTAAAATAATTTCACAGGCAGAATAGGATTGTCCCATGGGCCAGACTTGGCCCGCGGGCCTTGTTTGACACATGGGGGTTAGACTGTGCGCACGCCTACATTCCACCACATAGATAAACGCTGTCTGGGCACACTGTGCTAGAGGGCGGTTGCCATTCCCTGTATTTTTGGGAAGGTTAGCCTGGTGTAGTCAGTTAGCTTTGCTTCCTGTGGTGGTAGTTAGACTTCAAAAACAAAAAAAGGCAAGATTATCAGCCTCAATAATGGTGTGTTGTACTTCTTGTTTATGTCTGTTTGTGCTCGTAAGTCCTACACCACTGTCTGTAGTCATTGTCTTGAATAAAATCTATTTTTGCCATACCCCTCCTCTCCTGCAACGCTCACCAGTACTCTTACAATTCCTCCAAATTTACATCAGTCTATCTAAATAAATTTACATCTCTGCTTACTGCCCTAGACTGTAGCCCTTTAGTGGGGATGTAACAAACATGATAGAAATGAGGAAATAAATAAGAAGGTAAACAATCTTTATTCTTGGGATACTTGAATGATTTTTGTGCTTAGGCATTTCATGGATCTGTCAACAGAAGCCTGTGGGAGAGAAAAGCTTTAGTCTGATCAAGTCATTTAGGTTTTTTTTTTTTGTTCACACAAAGGTCAGGTACAGATTTAAAACCCTAAAGCAATGCCACTACATAGCTATGTTTAATGTAGAAATCTGTTTTTTTTTTTTTTTTAACCAGTGCTAAGATTACGCTCCTTGTATGGTATGCTAGCAGGGTTAGCTCAGCATTATGCTGAATGTTGATGAAATCTCAAGTTCAAATATAGACATTTTTAACATGTAACAGCCAGGCAGATAATTTATTCTTTACTTTTTTTCTCAGTTTTTAAGTAATTCCTTTTGTGATGGTTTGAACTCAAAGTCTTTTATTACTGGAGCATTAGCCTGTTTACTTTCTGCTAACCTGATCAGCCAATTCAAGTAAGGGCAGTTACAGAGAATATAAAGTGTAAACCAGTTAAAGTGACTCTGTTAATGGCAACTTGTGATGTTAAAGTGGCAGTTCTTCATTTGGTGGAGTTTTATGAGATGAGATTTCAACAGTAAGCAAGCAGTGATTATGAAGCCACGTTCCTTACTCAGTACTGAGCTTCACTGATGTTTCTATTCTTGCCCCACTTTCAGCTTCACTTGCCTGTGGTATCAGCCGCAACCTGCATGTTCTCAGAAATGCTTAAAAGAAATTTAATAGTACATAAAATGATAACAAGTAAGCACACGTTTGACTCAAAACAGTAATGAATGACATCTACGTATTTTGGCCATAATCACGAAATACTTAAGTCACGTGAAAAATAACATGGATTAACAAATGTGTAGAACCTGTAGCAACCATTGCTAGGTTGGACTAGCTTCACAGAACACTGGCAAAAATCCCATTTAACCTAAAAAAAAAAAAAAAGAGTCGCAGTTTTCTTAAACTATCTACATTTAGACTGCGTCATTAGTTTCAAATGAGATTTATTTTGCATGCACATGAAAGTTCACACTGTTCAATCGAGTGGTTTTTGTTTTGTGATATGCTATAAAGATATTTTGATTTTGCCTCTGCCTCTGGATATACACACATTTCTGCATGATAAAGACCTACTGAAGATGTTTTTCTTCTTGCAGTATATGAACATAATTCTATTCAGTAACTCACCTGACTTCAATCCATTCTTAGAATAAAAAGTCAACATACGTGACACACACGTCATGTTTGTCATCGATGATTCCAGCCAACCAGGGTGACGTTCTGACGTCACGAATGCGTGCTGTAGCTCATGCAGCGCCTGACTTCAAAAACTGCAGCTGCCTTGCTCCCATGAGATTTTAATGTCATGTGACATTCTGGTGACATTCTGTAGCACCGGCAACTAAGTCACACTAAATTTTTAAACACATGCACCATGTTAAGTCAGCGCTGCGCAGGACTGCATGAAGTCATACGCAGCCAATGATTCTCCTGTTGACAAAAATGGAAATGGAATTCTTTTTGACTGAGGCAGCCAATCGGAACAGAGCTCATTTACATAGACCAGTCTTGGAAATTCTACTGGTTCTTCAAAATTTCTGCATAGTTCAACTATTGTCATGTAAACAAAGTCATTCAGAGTGGTTTAATGTGAAATGGTTAATTGTAGAGAAGCCTACATAGAGACAGAGGGCACGGCGTCATCAGAGGGAAAACATTCTGCAAAGTTTAAAAGGGAATGAACGAGAAGTTGCGGGACACCACTTCTTAAATCAGCTTTAACATGTCAACACCAGCCTATTTCAATACGTATTTCTGTCCAGGGCCGGACGGGGACAGTTGTTCAGGCCGGGAATCATGCAGGACTCAGGCCACACACATACTCACAGCTACTGTATCTGAACAGGTGTTTAGTATTTTATGTTATGTTTAAGGTGAAACAAAATATGCTCCATAACTGCCCACTCCTTAATTACCAGCTCAGGCACCTAAACTGTTCCAGATTTTTTGATACACACAGTTCATGGTATAAGTAATGCTTTGATCATACACTACTTCAGATACTTGGATATGTTAAGTTTTAAAGGTCTCCAATACATATGTGTACATTAAATATATACACACACACACACACACACACACATACATATATATATACATATATATATATATATATATATATATATATATATATATATGTATGTGTGTTTAATTAGTATGTAAGCCTAATGTAAGCTATACCTGGAGCTCTCCCTGAACTTGAAGGTCTCTCACCGTCTCTTTCTGTAGTAAGCAGGATATAGCATCACCAAACAACGTATGCAATGTACACTATGTGGCTCAAGCTTTACGTCGTGCCAGAATAAAAAATATCGAATGATCTTCCGTATCTAACGTTATCTATATTTTGAGAATTTGGGCTTCACAATGAAGCATCAAATGAGACTATTTAATAACTGCTAGTTAGCTAGCTAGCTAACGTTAAGACGCCGTAGGCTACAAAACAAAACCAAAGCAAACCTAAACTAACGAAATAGTTCTGACATGCTGAGCTGTCGCTCCCCTGCTGAATATATCAGTCATTTTTTAAACACCTAGCAGCTTCTTCTTCGAGTGCTTTTCTTTTTTTTATCCTCCTCTCCGCGCCATCTTTCCTCTTCTTCATTTCTTGGTGAGACGCGATAAACAAACTCGCTAGGTTAACTAGCTTAGCTTTATTGCGCGCGCGCGAGCTGGTAGTGAGTGTTTTATTTACATGCTACGTCACGGCAGAAAGACGTGAATCGTGTAACAGGACTGCGGAGACAGTGTGAGTTCACAAGCTGTACTGTATTCTTTATCATACGTTGTAACATCATCTAGCCATGCCGTCCAGGCGAGCTGACAGGCCAGTCCACCGGGAAATCTCCCGTTCCTCGCGAAGGCCAGTCGGGGCCTAGTGCAGGTCTTAATGGCTTTAAGCCAAAACTAAACGCTTCCCAGTAAACATTTGGCCGTTGAAACAACGTTGAAATCACGTATCTGACTGCCGTTTAAACTACGCTTTATTAAGGTTCAAAATGAAAGTTGAAAAGACGTCTAAACTTAGCCGTTGAAATAACGACCAAAATAGTCACATTAAAGACGTCATTTAAAGGCCGCTGATTTAACGTTGAAATCACGTGCATAACTGCTGTTTAATTTAAGTTTTCTTATGGTTGAAAATGAAAGTTGAAAAGACGTTCAAGCTTAACTGTTGAAAAGACGACCAAAAAGTCACAGTAAAAACGTCATTTTAAGGTGTTCTAAGGCCTTGGAAAAAAATATAAATTATAAATTAAAAGGCATTGAAAAGTCATCCAAAATTAATTTCCACTAGTACACTCTCAAAAAAAGATAACACTTTACCATGAATCCTATATAGAACCATTTCATGCTTAATACACTGTACAATAGAAGAACCTTTTTTGGTGCTATATAGAATGAATTTTTCTATATAGAACCATATACAACGCATCATCTGTCAATGTGAAGAACCTTTTCCCCATGCAAAAAAACTTCCTGTAGTTAACTAACAATTTTGATTCCAATGTAAACATAAAACAAACTTTGTTAAATGGAAACTTTATTGAAAACGTGTAGTTATTATTAATTTCATTTGTGGAACATGAAACTGGACCATGAACTTCGTTAGGACTAAGACAAAGATCCTATGCATCAATTCAGAAAGAATTTTCAAACCTTTGAACCATAAGCTGTGTCAGTATTGTACATGATTTTCAATGTTTTAATGTAAAGGAAATCAAGGTGATTATTTAACAAGACAAAATCTTGCATTTTAGTTTCTGAGAAGTCAAACAAGAAAAGAAAAAAAAAAGTTAAAAGCTCTGCAGGGGGCATGCTTGAGGTGATCGGCCGCAGGAGAATCCATCTCATGAGCTGTGGCTTTGTTGTTCCACTTCAGAACTGCAGCTAACATAAAACACAAACAAGACTGTTACAATTAATGCACACACAAAGCATTAAAATCTCATGACAAAAACAGACAGATCTGTGGAAGGTGAAAGCCATTCTAACATCATACTTATTACTTATTTAGTCTTAATTAATAATCACAATGCCACAAGGCCTTTGACAGCTTTTAATTCACATATATTTAAACCTTTTAAATCTGAAATATGTTTCCATATAATATACTTAATATTTTCCTGTCTGCAATGTAGCCAATAAGGAGCAACTGATAATTACAAATCTATTTTTTAGTTATTTTTAAATGTTTATTTCAGTGGGCTTCTAAACAACTGCGAAGTAGTGATGTTGTGATATGTTCTTTTAAATGCAAAGGGCTTGAGCTTGTCTAATTTTATATACTGTCTCTAATTTTATATATTCTCCTAAGACTCATGAGATTTCTAAACTCTGTACTAGACTGCTGGGAACTGAAAAGCCTCTCTCTTATTTTGGTCAGTGTTTATTTGTTAAAAGAACAAAGCACAGTCCATAGAACGAACTGGGTAGTAAATAGTACAGAATGCAGCTATAAAGCTCAGTATTATTATTTGACTTTTTTATATGCCTTACTAATTCCAATACCAAATTTGACTGAAATGACTACAATTAATGATTCTGCTTCTTTAGTTTAGTATTGGTGTTATGTGTAACATTGCTCAAACACTAGAAGACAATATTAACCCAGATGTTTTTCCATAAATACATCCCTAAAACTTCTCTCAAACCTCATCTAGGTCTCCATTAGAGTCAGCAGACTTGTCAGTGTAGTGTAGGACACAGAAAGACTTACTTTGAACTATAGAAATGAACAAAACCTCACCACTTCGGCCATTTTAGGCAACACAAAGGCTGCAAAGGACTGATGTTGGATAAGTAATTATGACTGTCATTTCCATAAAAAACTATTCTAGCTCAGCAATCCTACTCCTGAGACAGAGAGGTCACCCACGGCACTTACTCTGTGATGACATTTTGTTCACTTTTATAGCCCACAGTATGTCATACTGTGTTGTACACCACACTGAGAAGTCTGTGCCACCTTAATGAAGACATGAAATGATTTAGGTGAATATTGACTTCTAGTGTTTGTTAGAAATGTTAGCTTCACAGCTCCATTGCTAAACTAAAGACACAAACTTTGGACACCAATTATGTCTTGGCCAAAAGACTACACTGGGGGTAAGCAGAAAATTGTTTAAATTTTATATTTTGCTGAACCATTCCTTTAAATAGGTTCTTAGTCATAAAATGAGTACGGCAACTGATAACCAGGAAAACTGTACATAAATTGTTAACACGTTATGTTCTATTGTGTTTGTGATAATACTTACTTTTTTAACTTGTGCACATTATTTGACCACTGCCAGTATGTTGTTGTGGCACACAGGCAAATCCAGTCAGCTTCCGAAACAAATATTTGTTTGCAAAAGATGACAGTCAGCTACAGTTAATTCAGTAACTTATCGCTGATAGGACATTTCATTGTCTAATAAAACCTCACTCATGATTTCAACTTGTGTAGCCAAAGCTAATGAACGAAGCATCAGAATGACTGCAACCACCATCTACAAACACAGCTGTAGCTTCTGCAGCTGTTTAAAAAATATGCTAGCTAGCTAGCGTTAGCTACTCAAATTACCTAGCTGCATAAGCTAACTACTTTCAAATGTTGTAAAATAATCATTAATTGTGGTAGTTCGTTTCAAAGTAAAATATGCTCCTGGCAGTTTTAAAATGAGCCTCGAGCTATTCATGCATGTGACTAGCTTAGGTAAATACAGCTAATGTAGCTCAATATAGCTAACGGCTAACTTTTACAAATGAGCCCGCGCAAAAATCCAAGATGCACGCCGACGCAGACGCTATATGGAGCGCTATATTCACAATATACAGCTGCTATTCACGTTAGCGTTTTACTAGAATGATTATGTGGTGTTTCTAAGAAGTTATTAGCAAATACTTATACAGGGCAACAACAGAAACAGCTAATGTCAGAAAACGCGTGTCGTGATGAATCAATAGCGTTAGCTAGCGATCTTAGCTTTTATCAGGACCTTCACCATTAATCACACTGAACTGAGGGGAATAAAATGACCGTTACCTTCGTCAATAAGGTTTTAATTCGCTATATTCAGCCAATACAGACAAATCTTTAAATCTGCGTTAATGCCGTGCAGCACCGACCGCTATGTTTCCCGTAGTTAGCGCGACTGTTCAGCACTAGCTAACCTTAGCAAGACGGCTTCAGCAGCTGTATCAAATACTAACTAGCTAGCTAGCTGGCTAACACATACCCTCTATTAATAAACAAACGATAATACTAGCTAATATTTAAAGATTCTTTGTAAGCTTAGTGACTCGTATATGGCAAAAGGTCTACCTAAAACGGCCAGCTAACGTTTACCCACCTGGACCAATGTGGACAGTAGCGCTGTGTGCTGCGGGCGGCTCGCTGAGGACTTTCTCAGACGAGGACCTTCCAAAGGGGCAGTGATCGGTGGACAGATGGACATCGCGGCTTCTTTAACCCGCTTGATACATCCAACAAACCCACAGCGCTTAAACGACAGGACTGCCTTGCTGACAGTGGAAATGCAGTTGCAAACAGGATTGCAAAGACATTTTCATTTTAGCAGAGCTGAAGGGCCATGATGACGAAATACAATAAAATGGGCGGTTTTTATGTCAGAGTCAGACCGTATTAAGATAATGAAAATGAATGGTCAAAAACGCTGCTTTTCTATATTAAAAGTTTCCAGCTATTATACAATACAATAAATTAACACGCAAATATGTTTGCATTCAAATTCGAATTGTGTCTTAAATAATGCACACTGCTATGAGATATGCAATTACAAACACCATTTAGCACTTTAATTTAAATTTAAATTTAAATTTGAAAAAAAGTCCAGGAAATATAGAAAAGCTGATGGCACCATGTTAAATAATGACAACCACACTCCATGTGACGTCATATGGCATGTTCTTTAACACCATAAAGACAAGTGAAATATTATCAAGCTTCAGCAATCAACATCTAACATAACAGTAAGCCAATCTATATTTAACATTTGGTATCTTTGAGAAAAGAAACATAACATAATCTCTGGACTGGAATACAGCTTTCTTTTTGTTGTTTCTTCTTCTTCTTACTATTACTATTATTATTACTATTATTATTATTATTATTATTATTATTAATATTATTATTTTTATTAGTAGTAGTAGTTGTTGTTGTTGTTGTTGTACTATTAGCAGTAGGCTAGAAGCAGTGGTACTGGTATTGTTATTATCATGATCGTTATCATTATTTTTGGGTTATAGTGAAACGTCCATTGACGTTATTAACAGATCACCAATGGACTGACTTTTTGAAACGGATTTTGGACGTCTATTGACGTTATTAGCGGGTCACCAATGGACTGACTTTTTGAAACGGATTTTTGACGTCTATTGACGTTATTAACAGGTCACCAATGGACTGACTTTTTGAAACTGATTTTGGACGTCTATTGACGTTAAAAACAGGTCACCAATGGACTGACATCTTTAAAACTGATTTTGGACGTCTATGGACGTTATTAACAGGTCAGCAATGGACTGACTTTTTGAAACGGATTTTGGACGTCTGTGGACGTTATTAATAGGTCACCAGTGGACTGACATCTTTGAAACTGATTTTGGACGTCTATGGACGTTATTAACAGGTCAGCAATGGACTGACTTTTTGAAACGGATTTTGGACGTCTATTGATGTTCATAACATGTCCCTGACTGACCGACTATTTTTAAACACATTTTGGACGTCCACAGACGTTCTTTGTTTACTGGGTTATATCTTGATTTCGATTTCATATATGAGGCCCGCAGCTTGACTATGAATGATGTTATTTTGATCATATAACGCAGCCCTGCGTCATGTTTATATAATTACCTTTTGTATTTTAAAAACGAATTACATACTTTTAAAACACTAGAAGACAAAGATTTGGACTTCCAGGGCTGCTGTTCATGCTTTTAACCACCAGGTGTCATTAATGTGCACTGGTTTTAAAAACTATTTAAATACAGTTTTAGAAAAGCTTCACTGCTTCACAACGCTTCGTTTTTGCTGTCAGCATTACCTGTGAATGTTTCCTGGATTTAATAACAGCGGAGCCAGATTTAGGAGGGAATGCATTTCCTACCAAAAAAAATGTACCCCACTTGTTCCTAGTACTGGGGGTTGATGGGAGTTGCAGTTCCTGGTTCACTGGCACCAATAAATGTGTAGCTCTGAACAGAGGGGTCACTGGTCATCTTTGTCTTTTTGTACGGATAGTTATGTTTAATAGTAATACCCTAGTGTCTGTGATTGAAAACAATATTATGGTTTTGTAAGGATGTTTTTGAATGAAACTAAAAGTAAAGTTTAAAACAATTATTAATTTATTGTGATAGCACAGTTTACCTGTAATTGGTCCAGTCTGGATGATGTATTTAAGAGGCAGACTTGGGCAGTTTCAGGATTGGCTGCCTGTGGGTGCAGAAGGAGTCTCAGAGTCATTATTGCTTTTAGCACCGTAGATTAAGTTGATTTTGGTTCAGTCTGAGCACTATTTGTGTCTGTTGTCTTTTCTGTGTCTTTGTATCTTAACGTCATTTATTTATTGATGCCGCTGTGCACTAGAGATGCTGAATGCGACTCATTTGAAACGTTCAAAATCAATTGTTCTGCCTATCCTAAAAAATTACATTGAAAGCGAATAAGTTTTTTACATTTTTGGAGACACAAGGTTTTGTTCTGATGATTTGCAGTGTGCAAATAAAGATCAAACCATGCCAATCAGGCAGAATGAGTCCATAATGCAGCAGGACGTGAGGTTGATTCCAAAGCCTTGAACTGGCAAGACGCCAACTACAGAAGTTTATTAACCAGGACACATATTTCACTAATTAACCTGAGATAGTGTAGACATTAACAGAGACATTGTAAAGGAGGAGACAGGTCACTTGTTGGAAAATGAATGGGAAAGATAACGCTAAACATGTCATCTGTTTACAAAGAAAATCCCACCCTTCAGCAAAAAAGAGCCAATCAGCTTGCTTACGCTACAAGTGCGAAAAGCCCCACTCTGGTTTAATTACAGAGATCTGTGCGATCGCAGTAGCCATTTTACCAGTGAAATGTATTTTCCAACCAGTTATCTGACTTTCTGTTTTGATTTTTTTAGGTCTCTCCCCATTCAAAAAGACAGGAGTCTGGTCTTCTATGATTGAAATGATGGCTGCCGAGTGAACAGACTTTCCCATAAGGACTTTGACATTAATTAGCTCTAAATAATGAAAAAAAGTAATTGATTTATTTTTGTTTTAGAAATAAAAGAATGCAAAGATATTAATTAATTCTTCCGTTAATAACACTGCTTTACACAAGCACCACCACACAAACAGTCTTTTCATCATCACAGTGCCCCTCTGACTAAAGGGAAGCACAACAGGTCAGAAAAAGATGTTCTGTGCAGGTACATTTTTCATTCATCAAAGTACGAACAGTGTAAATTTAACAGTGGTTTTAAGGTCCAACTGTGCACCTTAAATAAGTTTTTTTCCTGGTGAAAAGTACGTATTTGTTCCTTTTCATAACCTAATGTTTTAAAACAGAACAATAAAATAAAAGGCCTGGAGATGAGACGGGGTGTGTGGAGTCAATACAATATTGAGTATCGGTCAATACAAAAATATGATTTTAATGGATTATGTTACAATTATCATATTAAAGGTACTGAGATGTACTGCTGAGGGTACCACCCCAGCAACAAGAGGGATACTGCCCCAGTGACAGTTTAGTACCTTTTTTTCTGAGAGTGTAACTTTTAATTAATGCAGGGGAATCTGCTACAAGCGTGAGATCACCAAAAGGTCAGTGTAACTATCAGATTTATGCAGCTCTATTCATAGAAAAAGAACTAAAGTTCAGCAGCTGTTTGTAAACAAACTCTACTAGTCATGTGCGATTCATGAATCATTCTTTCGTACCGGCTCTTTTTGCTCGGTTCTTTTCAGTTGAAGTTATGCTGCTGGACAAGCTGCCATTAGAAACTCGTCTGACCAACCACAGCTTTACAGCTGCAGTCTTTAACATTAGCTTATCTACTGAACACTTATCTGCAACGGAGAACAGATTTCCTTTACTTTTTAATGAGTTAATCCGGTTTATTTTTAACACAACTTAGAAATGTACACTTTCATCTACTGCTAAATGTTCGTTTAAGCTACTGTTATTTAGTAAAAGTAAATGTACAGCCCTGTTTATCTCTTATTTAGATAAAAGTATAAAAAGTAATGTTACAGCAACTAAATCAAATGATTCTCAATGATCACCAAACCTATGGAAGCCCATATAGTTCATATACTATCTCATAATCATGACTCAGTGTCTTATAATGAGAACATTTTCTCATAATCATGAGATGCTAACTAATTATTATGATAAAATAAATCGTAATTATAAGATGATAATTATGATATGCTAAGTCCTAATTATGAGAGAATGAGTCATTTTCATATGCAAAATCATCCTAATGAGATACTAAGTCAAAATTATGAGATCTTTGGTCATGCTTATGAGATACTAAGTCATAATTATGGGAAACTCTCATTATTGAGACTTACCAAATGGCTATATACTTTTGAAAGAAACAGGTTACCATACTATTCGGAAAATATGAACAGTATCTAATTTAATGAAATTAAACAGTGTTTTTTTTTTTGGTTATAAAATTGAGTCAAGGTTAGCCTTGCATGTTATTACACTGCAGTGTTAAATGCATTTCCTATTAGTGCCAAGCTAACGCATAAGCATTAAACTCTTCATATTTCATATATATTATCCTGTTTTTTTTTAACATTTGAAATTGGACAGTCTTATGCTTAATTTGGAGTGTAAACTTACTCTTCTGGTAAGGAAGCAGTGGATGGTGAAGTGGTTAAATCCTTAAACAAAACCAATAACTATAAATTGGTATGAATGTTTTTTTTATGATTTTCCAAACCAGAACATGACAACTCTATGAGGACAGAGCAGAAGTCAGAAAGGTGAAAAGAATCAAAAAGCAGTGGAAGACGATGCAGGTACGGCATTAATAGTCCACAGCAGCTGTTTATCAAACACTTCGTAACCACACCTGTATTAACCCGGTTATTTTGTTTCTTATAGTCAGTAGCTCCACAGGGGACGAAGCAGGAGAGAGAGCTGTGTCACCCACCCAAAACCACCCTCTTCAACAAGAAGGACAGAATCTGGGAGAGGCCAGAGAGGAGGAGCACGCCAACAGGTTCAGAAAGAAAGAAAAGAAAAAAGAAAAAACTAAAGGAGAGGCTGGCAAAAAAGGAAAAACAGAGAGAGGAAAAAAAGATCACTAACAAGAAAACAGTGGAAATGTGTATCTCATTCTCTCTCAGTAATGTGATAACCCTCTCCACACTGCCCTGAGTGGACATCATTCCCTCTCTGATGCAGCGAGACACACCAACAGGCTCAGAGTGCAGGATATCTGCTCACCTGATGGACTGTGGCAGGTCAGTGTCATTCTTCATCAAGACCTAAGCTGAGATTAGCATGGATGAGCCACACTCAGCTTGGTCTAGGCTCAGGTTATTTGTGTAGTGATGCTGCACATTAATTAGAACCACATAATAGAAACGTAAAGTTTAGACATTCCTAATTTATTTTTAACGTTCATGATAATCCTTTTAATAAAGTTTTTTTTTATTTTGAGGAAATCTAACACTCTATGTTTTGAGTCAGAGATGAACATCTTGTTGCTTGTATTTGTATGTATTCTTCAGGCTGTTGCAGCTACATAAGCTTGGTTGAGTGTAATGCAGGAGAGGATAGGGTGCAGTTTCTAGAGAACTTGATTCTGAAGAAGAGACTTGGCACCAGTTATCCCTGCAGAAAGAGCGGGAGCTCTGAGGTGTGTGGGTGTGGTGGTGCAGATGCTTACCGATTTTGCTGAACTCCAGTGCTAGTGTGGTGTTTTGTTGTGTTATGCACTGTGTTTAACGCAAGGTAATATTGTCTGTGACAGGTTCTGTCTAAAGAGGAGAAACAGAAGAGAAATGAGGAGGATGAGGAGGATGGACTGACAGAGGAAAGAACAAGAACAGAAAAGGCTAAATGCAAGACATGGAAGTAGAGAGTAAAAAGAGCAGAACTCGAGGTCCGTCTCCATTTCTCTGTGCTGGCCTGTCTGTTCCTCTTCATTCTGCTTCATTCCCACCACCTCAACTTGCCTGCAGCAAACAACAAAGTGCTGGATCTCTCCTCGCAGTTTTTAAAGGAAATGTAACTTTCTATTAGGTAAACTGAATTTGAAAACTTGTGAAACATTCATGGCCGTAACTTAAGTTTTAAAAACTAATTTCCATTGTTTCAGGCTGATATGCAGAGTTGGACTGATTTAGTAAATTGAATTATACCAAGATTTAACTGCATATTGCTGAATTATTATTTTTAGTTGCTAATATTGTTCATGTTTTTTTTGTTTTTTTATCATAAATTTTGTTTAAATAATTCAGTTTAACTCAAAAACATCTTTATCAAAACAGAGACACATTGTGATTTCATAGAACATTTTATCTACAATTTTAGAAATCAATATAAGAAGGAAAAATGTAAACACACCTACCATTCTCTCCTACCAGCTAAAAGTCAGACAACAGGGAAACTTTTTTCCCCTCATGTCCAAAATCCTCAGCATAATTTACATTCAGACTGCTTAAAAACAGTCTGTGTAGGTATTGCATGTGGTTGTTTTCTATGTTCATGCTTTTTGGATCAGCGATGGGGTTGGTCTAGAATAATCAAGTTCCAGACATGTTTCTGATCCTCTTTGTTGAAATTTGTGCTTCTATACATTTAGGCTGTGTCTAAAAATGAAGGCTGCTGCCTTGATGCCTTACTGCCTTCACTTAGAAGCAGTTTGATTAGAAGGTATGAGCAGATGAATCAAAGGTGTTGTTGTTAGTATTTTTATTGTCCAGAAAAAATATTTTTTGATAGAGAGACATCTTGTAGTTGTATCTACGCTAAGTTTTTTTGTTCACTGTATACTGAAGCACTACCAGCCCATAAGACACGCCTTCAGTCTGAACACAGCTAGTGATGGGGGGGTCGAGTCCTGCCTAGCTTTAACCTCACATGTCCAAGTATTTAAAATATCCTAATGGAGCATTATTTACACTGGAATGTTTAAGTGACTGAGCTGATTATGGTGCTGTCATACTTCATGTATGGATATTATACTATATAGGCTATTTTGTATCATTTGATATACATTTAAGTCTGAAATCACTTCTTATTCTACACAAATAATAACAGGCATTTTAGAAAATGTTATGTAAAGGACAGTAAGTGTTTATTTGTTCCAGAAACACTAACATTAGAATAAATACAAATGAACAAATTAAAAAACCCATTGTGATTTAATGTGTGTTAGCTAAACAAAAGCATTTGCAGTCACCATGTAATTCCTAGTTTATCTATTCTTCATTAAATTAAATCGAGTGCTGCTGATGGAGTTGAACAAATCCATGTGATGGCTGAGGAAGTCAGGAACAAACCTGTGTTCTTCTAACAGTATTCATCTAACCCACATAATACATAACTTCACTGCCAAACAACACATTATTTTTACTGTATTTACTCCAATGTTATATAGCAAACCAAATACATTAGATGCTAGTAGGTGGAGTAACATCCCTTGAGAGCATCAACCCGTTTGAGACATAATAATACTAAATAAACGTGCAAATTACATTGTCATTTTTTTATCAATTAAAAGTATTTTTTTAATGGTGGGGGGCATTAATTGATTTTGCACTGGGGCCCATAAGATCCTAGTTACGCCACTGGTGCAATAATATGGTAAGCTAGAAGCGGTGCAGAAACAGCAGGTAAGTCCGAGCCTGCTGCTGAAGGCGCTCTGCAGTTTGAACAACAGGTCATGGAGGGAAGGTGTGATGCACTGTCCGGGATGGATAATTGTTTGTTTAGTGTTCATCTTTCTGTGACCACCTCAAATCTGTCCAGAAAGCATCCCAGGGCAGAGCCCACCTGCTTTATCAGCTTGCTGAGCTTCTTTGTTTCTCCGTTTCTGATGCTGCTCTCTATCATACTGATTCAAACAGCACAGGAACAAGAAGACGTGTTGAAACGTTAGTCGGCTATCATTTGTCAAGCTACCTGATTTTACTTGGTATAACCTAAGAATTCTGAGCACTTTAATCTGTAGCTATTTAAAAAAATGGACAAACAATGTTTAGGATGGTTTCAGCTCCTTTGTGTCTTTATCACCGCCCCCGGCGCTGTCTGGGTTCAGATTAAACGGAGTCAAGAGTCGGAGTCGACTCCGGAAAACTCTCGAAGCCCGAGCCGGTTTATGAGGAGCCTGGCCACTTCCTATTCCCCCCGTTATAGCAAAAACAGGCCTGCTAAACAGCAGAGGGCGCCCGCGAGTGAGTCCTCAATGAATGGGAGTGAATGGAGCTCAACGGCCAAAACCGAAAACTTTAAATAGTTTCTAATCACTCGCCCAGAACGTTTCTTAATTTTAGAAAGTAGGAGGATGTATTTCACTAAAAAGCAAATAAATCTGCATATATTTCCCTTTTTCTACAGCAGACGGGTTTTGGGCAGCAGGAGGCGGGCTTTACTGCTAGAGCGTGATGATTGATTGGCGAGCGGAGCAGCTCATTAGCTGTTCGCGCTCATTGACGTCATGGACATGCATGAGGTGGCGTTTTAAACTCCTATAACTCGAGTTTAAAAGCTCTTACAAATATAACAGCAGTGTTAAAATGTTTTATGATATTCAGTGTTCAGGAAACGTCTGTATTCTTTTATATTAAAAATGTTTAAGCATTTATAAACTATGATTTTGCTCAAATGCGCCATATCAACCCATTCATTTTGGACTCACTCAGGCGCGCCCTCTAGCGTTTGAGAAAACTGGAAGACATTGCAGAGTAGGAATTCTCATCTCTACAAATTCTCTGGGTCTACTTGGCCTCATCATCTCCCCTCGGGGAGTCCCCCAGCGCCATCTTATGGCCTGTTCCGTTACTGCAGAGGTAATCGAACTTTTTCCTCCTGAGGACCCCTTGCCAGTTTTTCACAACTTGGGCCCTCAGCTAAAAAAAAATTGTCAGTATACGAACTACTACAGCACATGTATAAAGAAAATCGGGTAAAATCAACCCATTTGTCCAGAACTTTAATTGCCTATTATTAACTAGCTAAAAAGATAAAATAAAAAGCAGCACATGACAATGAGTGCTTCATGAAAAAACAGTTTTATGACAGAGTCGCTTTAAAATGTATTACTGTTTAAACCCGAAAATACTGCATACAAAGCTGTTTATAGGACATAGCAATAAACTACTTAAAATGCTTAACATTATAAAACCATAACGATCGCTTTGCTGGGCTTTAGGTTACAAACAGCTCCGTCTGTTTTTCACTACTGCTGATGAAACTTCATCACTTTACTCTGCTAGCTGGCTCGTTAGCATGCTAAAGGCTATATGGCAAACAAACACAAACAGAAACGCATTACACCACGGAAGATTGTAACGAGACAAAGCAATTATTCACACACACGTTATGTACGTTATGCTCAAACTGTTTAAAAAACGTTTTGCGTTGTAAAGTTTATAAGGCTGGCCAATTAGCTCTCTGAGGCTAAACTGCAGAGCGTATTTGGTTTGAGTAATCCGCTCCTCTCCTTCTGCAGCGAGTGGACACTTGTGTAACAAGGTGTTAAACATAAATCCGAGTGGTGAGTCGAAGTGGGTGAGAGAAAGTTTAAAAAAGCATGGAAACGGCATCTCCAAAACACACCTGATAGCTAAACAACACTGAGGAACGTCTGGCGGTGTAGAATGCACCTCCTCGCCTTCTCTCAGGGCGCATGCGCTCTCAGTCTCCGCCCACTCAGCCCCTGAGGTCGGTGTGTTGGAGAAGGAGGCCGATAACTTGCAGCTAAAACTCCTGATCAGGTAAATAAAAACAAAAGACGCTTGATTACAACGCGAAATCAAAGCGGAACGCAGTAATCATGTGCTTATCAATGCTAAAGCGGAGTCGAATCGTTTAGTAGTCCTCTAAACGCGTCTAAAGATGTTCAGTTCAGGTCTCATGACATCAGAAATCTACAAATATAACCACATTATAAACGGCTGTATTGTAGAGCAGAGGTTAACTCTACAAAATGCACGCTGTAGCATCAGTTTAGGACAAGATTCAGTATGAAGAATATGAAGTCAAACGCACTCTGACAGACTTTGAGATCCCACTGTTGACTTGGACCTCGTACCTCGTAACGTTAGTCAAATAGTTTTAGTCTAAAGCTGTGGGCTGCACTGTAGGTAAAGGGGAAAGCTGATGGACCTGTTTACAACAGCACTGTTAATGACAAACAGGCTGGCTGTTTGTTAAAATGCTGTTTACGTTTCACCCTGTTCTTCTGAAGTTGCAGATGAATCTGCACCAGATGTGTAGATTTGGGTTCTTGCAGTCTCACAGCTCCAGCTTCGCTGCTTTGGAAGTCAGCCATGTGTCTTATTAAACCACTGTCTCAATATTAAAAACAGGATTTTGTCTCTGACCGGTCTGATTCTCAGGTTATACCTCCAGAGACGACAACAGAAAGGGACAGAACATGGTGTTGAATCCAGTCATATCCAAACTGAGTGGTAAACTTGTTGTACTGGCAAGTGCATCTCCAAGGAGGCTGGAGATTTTGACCAACATAGTGAGTAGCAAAAATGTACCACTTTCTTTGAAAGTAATGACCTGCCGTAGTAACAACAATACTACTGTTATTACTACTGATATTGGTAATGATGTTTTTGTCTGTAATGCAGGGCTTACGGTTTGAAGTAGTGCCTTCATGGTTCAAAGAAACTTTGGATAAAACCTTGTTTAAAGCACCCTATGAATATGCAGTGGAGACAGCAAAGCAAAAGGCTTTGGAGGTGGCCCAAAGAATGCCCTTTGTGAGTGATTTGTTTTTTCCTACTACCACAGATTCTCCCAGTTCATGCCTTTGGCTAGTGTCATATCTGTGTGTGTTTAACTTTACATGTACTGGACTCAGAAACACCTGAAAACTCCAGATATTGTGATCGGAGCAGACACTGTTGTGGTGAGTAGAGTCCTTATTCTGAAATCTGTTAAATGAAATTTTAATAAATGATGGTGTGCTTAAAGTTATTAACTCCTGTCACTGGGTTTGTATTTATCTTCTGTTTCTAGACAGTGGATGGAATGATCCTGGAGAAGCCTGTTGATAAACAAGATGCCTACCGAATGCTGTCCAGGTTAGTTTTTCAACTGCACTTGCCCTAATGTAAACACACTGTAGAATATAGAAAACATATTGTAGACATGTAATGTTCATTGTATAGAATGTTATTAATGGCTGATCTTTATCTCACTCAAATGTGTTTCAGACTGAGTGGAAAAGAACACAGTGTGTATACAGGAGTGGCCATAGTCCTGTGTCATGAAAGACAGAGTAAGTTTAGTAAAATCAGCATGAGTTTAATGAGGCTAGGAATAATGTATGTTTGTTATTACTATTCCTTTTTTTATTTCAGAGGGAGGTACAGAACTTAAGGTGGTAGACTTCTATGAGGAGACTAAGGTAAAGTTTGCAGAGCTGTCTGAGGAGATGCTATGGGAATACATCAACAGTGGAGAACCCATGTAAAGTGCATTTTGTTTCTGTTTGCTGTAGATTATATTTGCTTTAAACTGCTGAAGTAGACACTTTATATATATATATATATATATATATATATATATATATATATCTAGCATTTAAAGTGTGTTCTAGAAATGCATTAGTGTTATTAGCATAATTTTTAGTCACATAGTGTTTTAGTTACGTTATATGTACTTTTAATTTCTTTTTGGATGTTATTGAGGTTGCATGTCAGATCTTCATGTTTAAATGGCTTGTAATGATCTTTATAAACTTTACCTGAGGTAAAAACACTAAAAATGAGCCTAGTGTATGGTCAACGCTTGATATTTCTAAATCAGCTTTTCATAAATCCATTCTGGCTGTTTTCCAGAACAAATTCCTCAAGTGGCAAGGGCTATCATGCAAGCTGAAATGTTTTTCATTTAATAATCTGTATAATCAACAACACTGACACCCTTTGCAAGCAAAAACTCCACAGAAGTATGTGGACGAAATAATGCCGAACTGCAGAGACATGCTTAACTGTAGTCACATGTTCAGTTGAATTAAAGCCACTGTTTCCTTGCACCCCCTGTGTAGGTGTTTTTCTACAGAAGGTTAATACATGTAGAATCTCTTACAGATTCCTGTACTTCATTCTTGACAGGGACAAGGCTGGTGGTTATGGGATCCAGGCTTTGGGTGGCATGCTGGTGGAGTATGTGAAGGGAGATTTTCTTAATGTGGTGGGCTTCCCCCTCAATCACTTCTGCAAACAGCTGGGAATGATTTACAACAGCCCGCCCGAGAGCCCTGCTCACAAGATGAAGCGAGAGGACTCTGTAGGAACCAACAGGCCCTGGGCCCTCATTAACAGCCTGTCCAAAGTCACTGAGAATGGGGAGGTCAGCAACTTCAACAGCTCAGACTCAGCTGGCCAAACGGCAGTTCCAGAGCAGAACGTGGTGGGGCCTGAGTGTGCGAAGTGCAACAATGAGGGCTTCCCCCACAAGATACTGGATCTGCTGGATGGATTCAAAGCATCAAAGGTAAAGTAAACTCATAGTGCATTAATGTTTGTCATTAGTAGGATCTCCATAGGTACATATGACATGTATGTAAAAGCTGTGTTTTTACTTTATTACACTCTCTGTCCAAAAGTATCCAGATACATGCTCACTGCTTTTGCAAAAAAAAAGAATCATATTTACAAATTTTTCCTCTTACCTCAGATAATCAATCAATGAAGAGGTATTTGGTGTCCAAATTGCTCTTCAGTAGTTTAGCGCTGGAGCTGCAAGGCTGATGTTGCTAACAAACACTAGAAGTCAGTAGTCACTCAAAATGTGCCATAAACTCAAGCTCAAAACTCTCAGTCTGCTCAAAACACACCCATGTCTTCATTAGGATTGCTCAGACCTGTCTTTTAGAGGACATTATGACCCACTGTGAACTATAAAAATGAACATAAACTTTACCCAAATGCTGGTGGTAGCCACTTTAAACAACAGGTACACATACTCCAATTCCAGGCTGCATGAACCCATGTCACACAGGCACATGGAAACTAGATAGTATTCAACATTTCTGTTGTTTCTATTTTTTAAACATTTACTTGTCACAACACCTGTTAAGGTGGTTGCCAGCTGCTTTCAACTACACTGTGAGGTTTTGTTTATTTTTACCTTAATGATCTTAATGATGTATTTAAGGATGTATTTACAAAAAAAATTGGGTGACTGTCGACATCTCGTATTTTTTAGCAATGTTATTCTCGTAGCTCCAGCACTAAACTAAAGAAGTAAAATTTGGATGCCACACATGTCTTTGCTGATTGACTACGTCTCGGGTATGTGGAAAATTGTAGAAATTATATTTTTCTTCAAACTATTCCATAAACTTATCCTGGAGGTGTTTGATGGTGCTCCACCACTCTAAAATGCCAATGCTGGGGAGGTTTTTAACCCTTCTAGCTGCCACTGCTCCAGATTGTCCCATCCTATTGGGTTTTCCACAGCAGTGTGCATGCATTTTGATAATTGTGCAGGCAATGGGCGCATCAAAAAGTAGCTGAATCCACTAATTAGAATGGGTTTTTGCATATTTTTGGATATGTAGTATATGGCTGACACATTAACATTATCGTGTCTAATTCTTTTATGCTCTCTGTCAGACATTGTTTACAGCGTGTAAGCTGGGGGTGTTTGATGTTCTGAGTGACTCTGAAGGCCTAACAGTGGAGGAAGTAGCTGACCAAATCAAAGCTTCAGTGCTGGGCACTGAGCGGTTGCTAGAAGCTGCTGTCTCCTTAGAGCTTCTACACAAGCGCAAAGTTGAAGATAACATTGGTAAGAGTGAATTCTTTTTTAAATGTGTAAAAATATTTAAATTGGCAAAAGCAGGAAGTATTACTTATTACATATCCAATACAAACTAAATACAAAATACCCAGCTCCAAAAAAGTTGGGACAGTGATTTATAAAGCAGTGATTTATAAGTTGACTTTTACCTAAATTTGAACGAAAACAGTAGAAGGACAAGATAGGTAATCCCTTTACAGTGCTCAATAACATCAAAAGAATCAGGAAATCCAGAGAAATCTCTGTATATATTAAAGGCCAAAAACCAGAACTGAATGCCCATGACATTCGACCGATCAGATGGCACTGCATTAAAAACCATCACACGTCTGTGGTGGATATCACCACAGGGGTTCAGGAATACTTTGCCAAACCGTTGTCAATAAACACTGACCATCGCTGCATCTACAAACACAAGCTAAGACTAAACTATGCACAGCAGAAGCCAAATGAGAGCAACATCTAGAAACGCTGCTGATTTATCTGGGCTTGAGCTCATCTGAAATTGACTGATGCACAGTGCTGTGGCTCGACCCTTTCAGATTGTTTTTGGAAATAATGAATGCTGTGTTCTGGGGGCTAAAAAAGAAAAGGACCATCCAGTTTGTTACCAGTGTAAAGTTCAAAAGCCTGGGTCAGTTAGGATATGGGTGGGTATCAGTGGGGCATGTCTGTGAAGGCCCCTTTGGTGCTAAACGCGTTCCTGAAAATGTATGTTTCAGGGATGCCAGTGCATATTTCAGCATAACAACACTAAGCTATGTTCTGCATGTGTGACGAGAGTACGACTGCATAATCAGAGTGCGGGTGCTAGGCTGCCTTGCCTGCAGTCCTGACCTCTTGATCTCTTTCTCACTGAAAACAGTGCAGCTGAATACGTGTATAACAGAGAATGGCATAATTCCAGCTTTCTGTGTGTCTGTAGTCCACAAACTGTTAAAGTGATGATGAAAGGAAAGGTAAAGTAACACAGCACAGCATGTCCCAGGTTTTTTGGAATATGTTGCAGGCATCAAATTTGGAAGGAAGGTAAAACATAAAGTGTGTTTTATACCATTTTCAATGTATTATTGTCTGCTTTCTGTTTTTATTTGCATTTTGTACTGTCCCTTTTTTGGATTTGGGTTTGTAACAGGCCCTTACTCTTAGTAGCTGAATATATGGGCATAAAGAAATCAGATAAGAGTTTTGTGTATAACCTGCACACATTGTGCCTGTCAAGTAAAGAGAGACATCACCATCCTTTCATACATTTCCTCCATGTGGAGACTTTGCTCATGTGTCACTGCACTGAAGTCTGGCTGTGAAAGTCACATTGTGTGCATTGTCTGCCCCAGTGTACAGGAACACAGAACAGGCCAGTCGGTTCCTGGTATCAGACAGCCCTCTGTCTCTGCATGGTTACATCCTGCACTGCAATGACCTGGTTTGGCCCCTGTTCACCCACCTAGAGAGCGCTGTCAGAGAGGGGACCAATCAGTATGAGAGGGCTTTTGGGAAGAAGACTGAAAACATTTTTCAGGTTTAACAGCATATCACTGACACATTGATTCACAATGTTATTTGGGGGATAAAGTTAAATCCTGAATTTCTGCAAAGTTAAATCATTAAGAAGTACACAAAGTCATTTGACATGGTTTGATGTGAAGTGGTGCATTCAAGAGAAACGTATTGAGTCAGAACATATTGAGTTAGAATTATTTCTGTTACCAGCACTGCAAAGATAGTCAAGAGTTAAGAAGTGTGCTACAATGTACCATTTTGCATCAAACCACTGAATGAATGTGTTATCCTCTCAATATTTGAATTATGAGGAAAATCAATGGAAAGATAATAATGAACTTGTTCTGTGCTGCTTTTCTTCTTCTAGGATGGCTACTTCAAAAAGGATGATGTTAAGATGCGATTCATGAATGCAATGCACAGCATTGCGAAGGTGACTGGAAAAGATGTGGCCACAGCATTTGATTTGTCAAGCTTTAAAACAGCCTGTGATGTTGGAGGTAGCTGTTGTTTATATAAGCAACCTTCGCATGGTAAACCCTGTTGAAGTTCAAATCTGTTTGTAAATAATTGTAAATAAAGGATTTTATTTCCTTCCATAGGCTGTACTGGTGCCATGGCATATGAGTTCACCAGAGCCCATCCTGGAATGTCTGTAGTAGTTTTTGATTTGCCACCAGTTATTGAAATGAGAAGTCACTTCCAACCTAAAGAACAGGATGACAGAGTGTCATTTATTGCAGGTGAGTGGAAAATATGTATAAAAATGATGAAGTTGTAGTCACATTGGTTTTAGAATGCTTGCATGATGCTTTCCGTTTATTTGTTCTCACTTTTTTAATGTTTGGTCTGAATAGGAGATTTCTTCAAAGATGAGCTACCCAAAGCAGACCTGTATATTCTCGCTCGGATTCTCCATGATTGGTCTGATGACAAAGTACATGAGCTGTTAAGTAAACTCTCCAAGGCATGCACTCCAGGTAAGAACCTCCAGACCTTACCGGTATGTTTAAAATACTATAAAGCTCATACAAATGCATTAACATTTTTACACCGTTTAAGGAACCAGCTAAAATCCTCAGGTGATCTTTGGTTCACTGAGTCCACAGGGTTCAGCCGTTTTAGTTTTATTTACAGTAGCTGATAACGTATTGGGAATGAGAGAAGTTAGCAGAATTTCAAAACGGGCAGTACTGGTCATTCATTAAGTTGCGTGCTCCATGCATGTGTTGCTGCGGTGCAGGCTGTGGGCTGCTGGTCTCAGAGATCTTCCTGGACAAGGAAAGGAGCAGGCCGAGCAGAGCGCTGCTCCAGGCCCTCAGCATGACAGAAGGGCGGCAGAGGAGCGGTGCAGAGTACAGCGATTTACTGACGAAGCACGGCTTCACTCCTGTACAAACCCAATACACAGATAACCTGCTGGACGCCATGCTTTTTGTAAAAGAGGACACAAATGTTGATAAAACTTTGCAAGTTTCATCCTCTGAGTCTGTTGTGATTGCCTGAAATGCTAGTTTTGAGCTTTTTCAACTGACTAGACATCAGCTTTAATTGTACAGGACATAATTATCGTCAATGAAATGTCTTAAATGTGCACTACTTCGACTATTTTGACAGTCTTATGTTGTCTGTAAAATTATCATTAACCTCTGTGAGAGGTATATTGCTTGATTTGTTCTAATTGAATAAATGGCATTGTTACTGAAAAACAGTGTCGAAGTTTTTCTTCAGTGCTGACTGTATACCCCACAGAAGCCACACAAGCTTAATTTCTCAAGGGTAATTTCAGTTCATAACCCCTGTGTTTTCGACTGGCAGGCTGTGCCGTGCTCCTAGCTGAGACCGTGCTGGACGAGGCCAAGCCGTGGGCCAGCAGGGCCTACATGCAGTCTCTGAACATGCTGGTGCAGACGGAGGGCAGGGAGAGGAGCTCGACTCACTATAGACAGTTGCTGGAGAACCATGGATTTTCCCAGATGAGAGTGTCTCACACAGGGAACTTTTTAGATGCTCTTTTGGCATTCAAACAGTAAATAACAGGTCATTTTCCCTGGATCTTAAGTTGAAGAGCTTAAAAATAAGCAGCTCCTTGCTCAGTTTGGTTTTCATTCCAGTATTTTGCAGGTTGTTCTGCCTACTCAGTCAAGACTTTAATATATTCGCAGTAATAAGTAACAAAAAATGCTTAAATGTAAGAACTGTTTGACTTTGTTGTGTATTATACAACTCTGCTCTTGTAAGGCCTAATAAAACACTATACAGAAAAGTTTGTAGACATGCGCTCGCCCAACATTTCTTCTGAATTTAAGTGTCTTAATAAAGACTTTGTGCCTCCTTTACTGCAGTAACAGCCTCTACTCTTCTGCGAAGACTTAACATTAGATGTTGGAACATTGCTGTGAGGATTTGATTGCATTCAGCCAGAAGAACATTAGTGAGGTCAAATACTGATGTTGGATGATTAGTTCTGGATCATAAAGGCATGCCGAGGGGACTGATGTTCCTTTATATCCCTCTGTGTGGCTACTCCAGAGTGTCCCATTGTGTTGGCAATGCTTTTCTGTGCTTTTATATTATACAAGCTGTGCTCATGCATTTGAGCACCTATTTTAGAAATAGATGCACCTTAAAATAGCTGAATTAAGTCTACACACTTAAAAAAGATGGTTCTGTAGTAAAGCGAATGGTTCTATTTAGAACCATAAAACCGTTTGCATGCTTAAATTGTTGTAAATAGAACCTTTTTGAACATGGTTCTACACAGCATCAAAAAAGGGATCCTACAAGCGTGACATCGTAACAATATAAGAACAATTTCTGGTGTCACGCAGAACATAAACTGGCCCATAATGTATCAAGCCTGCCCTTAGCGCAGTCTCGCGATAAGAGCAGCTGGGCCTGCGAGATTTCACTGTCCGTCCTGCTCGCTGCGAGTCTGCGCACCACATCCTGCTCTCTGCTTCAGCTATCCATCACCTCTGCCTCTCCTGCCATCCGAGCCTGCCGTTTCGCAGCTTTCAGGCAGCTTAAGACCAGGTGCCATGGCCGACGCCGCGATTTCTTTCGCTAAAGACTTCTTAGCCGGCGGAGTGGCGGCTGCCATCTCTAAAACCGCAGTAGCTCCCATCGAGAGGGTGAAGCTGCTGCTGCAGGTGAGAACACGTCGAGCTCCACTTCTGTCCTCTTACACAGCCATGAAAATGAGTGTTTAATGCAACATTGCTGAGTGTTGTCTTAAAAGATCTATAAAAGCGTATAAACTGTCCTGTAGTGGTCACTGCAGTCTCTGGCTTTATCCTTGGGAGGCCATGTTGAAGTCCTCTGCAGCATCCCTGCAGCTGCGTGCATCTGCACTGCTGCACAACTCGCCTGCAGAGACAGGCGCTCTTATCTCACTGGAAAGTCTGTATTTTATGATAAAATTTATATATTCCAGTGAGTTGCTTCGCGTCAGAGATGTATTTGCTACTTTATATGAATTTGTGACATCTGGCTAAAGAATGCTGCCAGGCTTGACTTATTTGACTGTCATTAGATAATGGGCTTCTAGTATAAAATGTTAAAGTGCATAATCATCAGTAGTTTAGTAGTTTTGGTGTTCAGTACTGCATGGTTTACTGCAGGAGTGCATAACTCCAGTCCTGGAGGGCCAGTGTCCAGCAGAGTTTGGCGGTGCCCCTCCTCAAGCACACCAACTAAACATGCCACTTAAAAAATGAGTTAAATCAGGTGTTTTTGAGCATGTAAATCACCAAACTCTGCTGGACACTGGCCCTCCAGGACTGGAGTTATGCACCCCTGCACTAAACCATGGAATGAAAATCTGCAGCCACACTGGCTGTCTTTGGATGAGACCTTGTGGTGACCCTTGCACCCCTATTTTAGTGCAAGGGTCACCACAAGGTCTCATCCACAGACAGTAAGTGTGGCTTCAGATTTTCATTCCAACCAAGCAGGATCACACCTCATCTGACTGCTCAGAGGGCTGAGAGCAACTGATTAAACGAGTGGAATCAGGTGCGCTCCTGCTTGATTTTAATGAAAACCCGCAGTCACACTGGCCCTTTGTGGATAAGGTTAGCTGTAGTGTATTTCCTGCAATTCAGTGCATGACAAGTAACTGAAGTGTTGAATCAGATTCACTAAGCAGTTTAATGCTCTGGCTATCCAAGACTGGAGTTAAACCCTCCTTTTCTAGGAAAAGGAGAAAAAAAAACAATTAAGCCCACATTGTAACTGATGCTTTTTTTGGCTGTACAGGTGCAGCATGCAAGCAAGCAAATTAGTGCAGACAAACACTACAAAGGCATTATCGACTGTGTCGTGAGGATTCCCAAAGAGCAAGGCTTTGCCTCCTTCTGGCGCGGCAATCTGGCCAACGTCATCCGCTACTTCCCCACGCAAGCTCTCAACTTTGCATTTAAAGACAAGTACAAGCAGATCTTCTTGGGTGGTGTGGACAAGCACACACAGTTCTGGCGTTATTTTGCTGGAAACCTGGCATCCGGGGGCGCGGCAGGAGCCACTTCCCTTTGCTTTGTGTATCCCCTCGACTTCGCCCGTACTCGACTGGCTGCTGACGTGGGCAAAGCTTCCTCCTCCAGAGAATTCACCGGACTGGGAGACTGCCTGACCAAGATTTTCAAGTCTGACGGCTTGCGAGGCCTGTACCAGGGCTTTAACGTGTCTGTGCAGGGCATCATCATCTACAGGGCGGCTTACTTTGGCGTCTATGACACAGCTAAAGGTAAATTTAGTTGGCCACACCACACTCTTATAAATTAAGGTCCCATAAGGACTCTTTGTAACAGTGCCATTTGGATACCTATTGCAGTGGTCCTCAACTCCAGTCCTGGAGATGAAAAAAACAGGAAACCCATACTGAGCCAACAAGTACAGGGAAGCACATCTAAATTGTTGTCTGTGGTCATCAGTTGTTTGCTACAAATGACGCAGATAGAGATTCAATTGGAAAATGTGATTCCTTTAAGTATTCTTTTAAAGAACATTCTGCAGAGAACCACAGAGAACCCTTTTGGAGGTTTTATTTATAAGAATGTAGCTGATGGGACAGAAGTCATCTGTGTGTTCAGTGCTGTCAAGTGCATGAATGGTATTTAACATGGTTATTTACATGCATTTATTCTTGTATGTGGTGGTGGACAGGCATGCTTCCTGACCCAAAGAACACCCACATTGTGGTCAGCTGGATGATTGCACAGACTGTGACGGCAGTGGCTGGTGTCGTCTCTTACCCCTTCGACACCGTGAGGCGTCGCATGATGATGCAGTCTGGACGTAAAGGAGGTATAACACCCACACACATATACAGTACTGTGCAAACCATTTACGTCAGGAGCAGATATGTTTTTGACAGTAAAAACGCTATATAAAAATAGAGTAAATGCAAATAAAAATAAATACGTTAGAAAAAAACAGTTTCTTGTTGTACTTGATATGTTGTGATGCTAGTAAGAAGAACACAGGTTTGGTTCCAGATTTCTCTTCAATGCTGCCAGTTCACCTGATTTAATTAAAGCTGCACTACGTAAGATTTGGGGATTTAGAGACCCCTCTGGTGGAAAAGTGTAATTGCACATGAGCAGAAGAACATTTTGTAACTTCAGTTGTGCTTTTGACCCTTTCCCGACGTGGATGAATCTGACGTTTGCGAGCGCGTTAAAAGAGTATTCAAACAGAGCTCAGTCAAAACTTAGTAAAGAAATTGTGTCTTCCGAGTTTGTAAGTCTATGTTCAGACTGCAGGCAAATCAGATTTGTGTCTCAAATTAGATCTTTTGAGACAGCTTTCCACACTGTTATTTGCAAGTGATCAAATCGGATTTGTTTGTCCAGACATCACCAACATATCTGCATGGGTTGCTGTGGTAACAACATAGGCGTCACTAACCTTGTAGCTACGCTGGTGACGCTGATTTAGAATATGGATGCAGGAGAGATGGATGTGCATCATCTTGCCCTCCAAATGCTTCAGAATTCTCCGGTATAAGCAAGAATCTCTGGCGCTCTTCTTGAATTTGTCACATTGCGAGATACACAGAAGACACTTTGAAATCCGATTTGAGCTGCCAGAGCGTCCAGACTGAGACACATCTGTAAAAATCCAACTGGAATCATGTTTTAAACCAGCTCCAAATGCGGTATGGATTGGATTCGCAAAAAAAGGATTTCTCATTTTTTTGCTGTCCAGACAATCATATATCAATCTGGATATGATCTGGATATACCAAAAATCGGATTTGGGTTGGCAGTCTGAACAAGGCCTAAGTGAATTGTCATCATATTTTGATCGGTATAAGTTTTGCATTTGAGACCTAAACATCGAGCCTAATCTTTTTTTTTAGCCTGTGTGTGTGACATTAGTATGTGAAGACAAATGACATGGTCTGAAAAACTCCTGTGAAATCTGACCCTACACCTCCGACTTTCAAATAATTATTTCAGGCTTTTCAGAGCGACTCAAAGCAGTGCCTATATACCATATTTTAGCGTGTTTTTTTCTCCTGACTCAGTAATGCTATTTTTTTAAATATTAAAATATAAAAAAACAACTTAGTGATAGAACACTTAACATAGTGCTTCTTTAATAAAGTATTCATTAGCCAAACCACATATTATATGGTAACTTTAATTAATACTGGGCTGGCATGAGGAGAGGTGGGAAAGCCAACACAGTATATATCAAATCA